TGCTCTTCTACTGGGATAGAATTAGATTTTCCACTTCTACCAGAGCAGACTCGGTCTCATCTGAAACGTGCTTCTACCTACATTGTCTTCCCCATCATTTATTTTACAAGCGACAGTTACCGAAGCTTGAGCACTGCTGTGCCTCTGTGAGCCCGTCTTCTGCAAAGTGTTTTGTGAAAGGACTTCTGCCCTGTGAAAAACAGCATCTACAAAAATATTTTTGTTTTGGCTTGAAGGAGACCTTTCCGAGCCTGGTTTGTTTAGCGGCTGTCTTTCCTTCAGGATGCAGGCAAAAAAGCCAGTACACTGTTTTTCTGAATCATAGCTGGAAATTAGTACCAGCTTCCACTGCAAACCCAGGCAAGTCACCACCCCAAGGCAAACGTAAGACCATGAATATGGAGGACTTTGCTCATACCGAGGGATCTCTTGAGTCATTCCTTGTCTGGGTAACCTGCTGCTTGTGGAGGGACAGAGTGAAGGGAGCCTTGGGTTGTGGCCTTCACCCTTCTGTGGCATTTCTATGGGTGCTGCTGTGCCTTTCTCACACCGGTCTTGATTTCTAACCAAATCCAAAGAATAACAAACATGAGAGCCCACAACCCAGACTAGACTATGCTTCTTAAAAAAAAAGGACCATTGAGGTGACTAAATAGCCATCCTGGGTACTGGCTAGTGCATCCTTGATCCCAAGGGATGTTTGTTTCCTCTTAAATGTTTCTGGGGTGGTGATGGAGAAGGTCTTTGCCTCCACTCCTGAGACGGTCCCATTTGGGGTTCCACATTGTCTTTGCATGCTCCCCAGCCATTGAAGAGTGGATGGGGAGCAGGGCTCCATCCCTCCTCCTATTCTTACTTCCTCCTGGATCAGGTTTGAGAAAGCAGATGACTATCTGTTTATAGGTGTTCTATAGGGGGTTCTGGTTCCTTGACCCATTGCACAGATGCCCTACTGCAAGGACAAATCCAGCACCTAACTTTTAGCAGGGTTTTCTATTAGCAGAAGAGCCACTGAAGCCTCTATGGTTCTGTGACTTAAGAGAGAGTTTCTCTGTCTACTCTCTCTCTCTCTAATAAAGACTTGAGCTGACACAGGATTGAGCTTTCTCTCACCTGGCCATCTTGCTTCCATTAGACTTAAAAAAATCCAGACTAGGATACATCCCACCTCTCTGCAAATACCTGCAGTGCAGACACCATCAGCTGGTTAGTTGCCCCTGGCTGCTTTTGTAGTCAAGGGAGAGGAAGAGGCAGATTGACACCACAATTCATCTCAACCTAAGGAGGATGTCCAAAATAGGTCAGGCGAGTCACACCCCCTCGGAAAGATAAAGGGAGTTTTGGGTGAATATGACTGATTGATCTGGTATTGGTGTTGCTTAGAGAGGGAGTTGGACCTTCAGAGGTCCCTTCCAACTAGCTTCTCCATGATGCTATGACTAGCTGAGATGAAGGCATAGATGTCTAAGACAACCAAAGGGAGATGAATCCTATCCTACAAAACACCCTTAAACTCCTGGCCCACATCTCTGAGAAGCCTCCAGTCATGTTCTCTTGACAGGTCTTTGCTAAGGGAAGAGGCACCCTGGCACAAACCACACAGCCACCACCCAGGACCCCCAGACAAAGCAGCTTGGTAGAGCTCTGCTGCACACCCAGCAAAAGATACAATCCACACAAGAGTTATGTGGCTAATTAGGATTTCATCTCTTGTTGAACAACCAGCTGCTTAAAGAGTCTCATTAGCCACAGAAGCTGTTAATTGTGTTAAAACTCCTGGTGATGGCATCCTGTGCTTGGGGACACGTATCACAAACCCAAGAGTGGGCTAAATTACTCAGCTGATAAATAGACTGTAGAGGTATTGGGGAGTTTGAGCTGATTTAAAGAAGAATCTTTGTAGATTATTCAAGCATGGAGAAATAGCTGCCAACATTTGGCACATACATAGGTCCTGTTATTTAAAATTATTGGTTATTTCAGCTTCTCAACACTGATGCGATAAATATTACTCCTGTGTAACTAACGTGGAAACTGTTCTGCAGAAAGCTGCAAAGATGTGTGCAGACTCACACAGACACCGGTGACAGAGCCAAGTATAGAAGTTTCTGATTGCCAAGTCAATGCTAAGTAGAGCTGGGAGTCTTTTTTCAGTTGACGAATTTACTTATCCCTCAAAAGTATAATCAGACAACAGCCAGTCAACAGTTTAAGTCAATGACAACTTCTTGCAAATTCATGTCAAATAGAAAAAAAAAAGTCAAAACATTTTGAGATTTTCAGAAGAAAACAGATCATTTCATTTTAATGTGACAGTTCATTTTGAAATGTATCTGAGTACCCATTTTTTAATAAACTTCCATTCACTCTTTTCTTAAATTGAAACAACACGTTTCACTTCAATTGAAAGTGATTTTTTTGCTCATCAGTGTTTAATTTTCACTTAAAATGTGTATCAATATAATTTCCAGTTGGCCCCAAATTATTTCACGTAAGTTTGTCTAACAAGCAAATAAAAAAAGCCATTCTACTTAACCATTTACAATCTTCTTTTCAAGGAGAATTGGGCCCAGCATGTTTCAGTTTGTGGATTTACAGTGAACTTTGCTGGTTTCTCTGAGTTTCAGACCTGTCTCCTGAGCCATAAAATCAGAGATTAGACCTTGCAGAATTTCTGTTCTCCTTCTAGATAGCATTGAATGATTCTCAGATTTGAATAGGAAATTATAATTAATAAAAGGGGGGTGAAATCAAAGGCAGCATATTTTGTAGTCATAAAATAAATGATCTTTTGCTGTGTTTATATTATACATATAATACAGCAGGAAGTAAAGATCAAAGCCATGTTTATAAAGAACTTGGCAAGTTGTGTGCTTGGAGGAAGCAAATGGGTTCATGGGAGGTACTGAAAGAATGAAGTTTGGATTTTCAGCTAGTGTAAATCAGCATATCTCCTTTGACTTCAGTGCAAGGGTAGTGATTTACATCAGAGGAGAAGCTCGTTCAAGGGTTTCAAGGGACAACAGATATGGTAAAACAAAATAAAATATTTTTTTCTACTGAAAAGTATTTGCCTGATGTTTGTTTTCTACTTCCAAGTACTGGGAATAACTCAGAGGAACAGGATCCTGACTCCCAGCTTCATTAACTGTAAGGTGTAAAGGTGTGAATCAGGTTTGGAGCTGGTTCCTGCCCTGCTGATCGGCCAAGGAGGCAAGTATCAGACTGGGGCTGCCCAGAGAGCTCAGCCTTTGGGTACTGGCATCTCCCTGAGCCCCACAATTCCCAAGCTAGTTATTTGCAGGCTACAAAAATCCCCCAATGCACCTGATCAATGAAAGGGAAACTGAGGCATAGTCAGGCAGGATAATTCGTCTTGGATCTTGTAGTGAGAGAAGTTCACTGCAGCCTTACTGCTCCCTGCCTGAGTTATGCCATGAACTCCCATGCTTCACATAGGGTGAAAACTCTTCACAGCAGCAACTTCACCCCTATGGAGAGCTGAGATAAACTCACCAAATACCACCCTCACCCAGAGAGAGAAACTGAAGCAAAGAGGTACAAGACAGCAGCATGGTGAGACCAGACACCCACAACCCTGATCCACCACCCTAGGGACACCTCAGCTCCCAAGGCACCATTGGTC